GTGCCTACGCGATCTGTGTTTCTGGGGCGACGGGGGAGAGGGCAATGCTTTTGTAGGGCAAGAGCAAGCATGAGCAGCCCGATCGTCGGCAAGAGCAAACATGAAATCAGAGCTTCTCGCGAAGGACGGCTGTAAGGATTGCTGTTGACCGATCAAGCGCGCCCGCCGAGCGTACGGGGATCTGGCCCTGGAAACAACGCTGCCCCCCCGCGACCTTCAACCTACGGTGTCGAGCCTACGTTCGAATCTGGCCAGTACGTCGTTGGCGAGGAGGCCCCGCGCGGCTCGCCGTTCTCGAGCCGTCGCCCCGTGCAGCCCTGCTAAACTTGAGTGGCGGTGCCAGCCTCAAGTCGGGCGTGTCCCCCTACAGGGTCGGCGGATGAAAGAGAGACAGAGCGAGAGAAGAACATAAAGAGGAACATAAGCGGCAGCAAGAGCAGTGCTCCCACTTGCCGCCCCTGCTTTGTCCCCGCACTCCCATCCCTCCCCTGCTGCTAGAGAGCATCCTTACTAATTAGACGAATCAGCCGATTTCGGACGGCCTTCACTGCGGGCGCGCGCCACGCGCCAGCGCGCATGCGCGCCAGCAAGACATTCGAGAAAACAAAGAAGTCGGGCGTGTCCCCCTACAGGCGGATTCTGGACGAAAGTATAAGAATATGCCAAACGTGCCCCCCAAAGGAGCAAACATAGTTTAAAAACATATCGTCCCCAGACGATGGTTTTGAATTATTGTTGGGGGACATTCCCCAAATGCCCCCCCCAAATGAGCAAAGGTAGTCAAAAAATACCCCCAAAAATTCAGGAGGAAAAGAAACACACAGACACAATTAGTCCTCCATCCCCCAGAAAATATAGGAAAATATGGGATGGTGGGGAAGACAGAAACCCAGAAAATATAGGAAGAATATGGGGAATATTTTTATTTGTGTGTATTTATTTGTGTGTCCTGGGGCCCCTTCAAAAATGAGCAAAAGTGGTCAAACAAAATCGTCCCCAGACCATTTTGATTAACTATTTTTGGAACATCTCCCCTGTGGAGGGCCAGGCCCGACGCAGTGCCCGCCCCGCGCTGCCCGCCCCCGGCGGCGCAGCTCTCCGGGCCCGCCGCGGCGTGCCGGGCTCCGCGCGCGGGGCGGGGCGCCTCTCAGGAGGGGAAGAAACACACAGACACAATGAATCCTCGATTCCCCAGAAAATATGCGAGAACATGGGAAGTGGGGGGGGAAGACAGAAAACCAGAAAATATGGGAAGATATGGGGAATCCGTTTCTTTGTGTGTATTTATTTGTGTGTCCTGGGGCCCCTTCAGTCTCCAGCGCGCGCAGGACGGGGCACGTCAGTCACCTCGTGGGCTGGACCGTGCAGTCAAGGCGGGCGTGTCCCCCTACAGGGGGATTTTCGACGACAAATAGAACATGCCCAACACATAATGAAAAAATCGTCCAGAAATAGTCCGGGGACTATGTTTGGAGTATCTTTTGACCTTTTTGGGGCATCTTGGGGGTATTTTTCATTTTTCGTCGAAAATCCCCCTGTAGGGGGACACGCCCGACATAAACCTCGTGGGATGGACCGTACATGGTCATTCTATTCGAACCCCGTGGCCCAAGATGTCCCCCAGACCCCCCGAAGTTCATATTGATGGCGTGGCGGCGGGGGGGGCATGAGTGGGCAGAAATATTCGAACCCAACGCGGGCAGGACGGGGCGTGTCAGTCACCTCGTGGGATGGGCCGTGCAGGGACATTGTATTCGAACCCCGTGGCCCAAGATGCCCCCCAGACCCCCCGAAATTAGTATTGATGCCGTGGCGACGGGGGGGTCGTGAGGGGACAGAAATAGTCGAACCCCAAGGCACCGCCTTTACTGAGATCAACATTGATGTCGGGCGCGCGGGGGTGATTTAGAATCTCCCTCGAATGTGTAAGGGTTCGAATATATTGTCCATCTACTGGAGGACGCCTTTCAAAGTGGATCACCCGCCTGGATTGCGGGCCCGCGGGCCATGGGGCGTTCGTTTTTTTGTCACTGGGGCACGTCGCGCCGTGAAAGAGCAGGTACGAATGAGGAGGGGATTTGGGACGCGAGAGTGCGTTGCAGCATCGTTGCGACATCTTGGGGTGACTCCGGTCCGCGCCCCCCCCCCGTCCTCCCAGTCAGAGAGATGCTCAAGGTTCCGATGCAAGGTGGCATCGGGTTTCCAGGACGCCTGCCCTCCTCCGCATTATTATTTTCCTTTTCCTCCTCATCATCATATTTTCTTCCTCCTCCTCTTGATCCCCCCCTCCTTATCCCCCCCTCGCCAATCCTTCTCCCCGCCCCCTTGTTCATCCTCCTCGCCCTCGCCCTCCTTCTCCCCCAGACTCTAGACCGCCGTGGTCACTAGTCCCCCGACGGATTGGACCCGACCCACCCGCCGCCCCCGTGAGTCCAGACCTTTTGCACCCTGGTTCCCCGCAGGTTGCCAGAGGAGTTCGACACCACCAGGTTGCCTCGTGGGTCTGGTCCACTCCCGTCTGTACAGTCGGGGCCCTGAAGAAGGAACCCTTTTCGTTGGGGAGGGGCTCCGCGTTCCTTAAGTGTTTCGCAGCTTGCCTCAGGTTTTCCTTAGGTTCTCGATGCGAAATCGAAGTTTAACTTATGGAAAAAAGGGGCCTCGTTCCTTATTTAGGGTTCCTTAGGTCAACGCCCCGACTGTATGGCAGGCGCTCATGACCCATGACTCTCACCCCCTCCTCTCCTTCCCTGGAGCCTCGACGTCGTGGCTTGCTTCGCAGCGTGGCCCCCTCGAGGTCTGGGACCCCTTCGCCGGGACCAGCTCGTCATCCCGAGTCGCTCTGCGACGGCCTCGGGACCCAGAGAGGGCCCCAGGTGGCCGAAAGCGCCCAAAAGCTTTGAGGCGTGATGTTTTGGTCACGGCGCGAGGTCCCTCCTCCCTCCTCCCTCCTCCCTCCTCCCTCCTCCCTCCTCCCTCCTCCTCCTTCTCCTCCCTCTCCTCCCTCCTCTCCCTCCTCCCTCCTCCCTCCTCCCTCCTCCTCCTCCCTCCTCCTCCTCCTCCTCCTCCTCCTCCTCCTCCTCCTCCTCCTCCTCCTCGTGCTCCCCCGAACGGTCTCGCCGAGCGCTGGCGCTGCCGGCAGGCGCCGTGCGAGCGCGCGCGCGCGCGGGTCGGCAGCGGGAGCGCCGCCAGGATCATGGCCGCCGTGCCCCGGGCGCCCTGCAGCGCGGTGGGGCGGCTGCTGCTGCTGTCGTGTCGTCCTGCTCCCGCCATCGGAGACGAAATCCTCCTCCTCCGCCTCCTCCTCCTCCTCCTCCACGCCGTGCCCCGGGCGCCCTGCAGCGCGGTGGGGCTGCTGCTGCTGCTGTCTTGTCGTCTGCTCCCGCCATCGGAGACGAAACAGCTGCGTTCCGGAGAGGAAAAAACACACAGACACAATGAATCGTCGATTCCCCGGAAAATATGCGAAACTATGGGAAGTGGTGGGGAAGACAGAAACCCAAAGAATATGGGAAAATATGGGGAATATTTTTATTTGTGTGTATTTATTTGTGTGTCCCAGGGCCCCTTCATGCGTGAACGTAAGCTTTCGGAGGTCCGCGCGGATTCCTTGGATCGCCGCCTGCCCCCTCCCCCTGATGCCACGAAGATGCGGGCAGCTGTGCCAGCGACTAGAGCCGTCGTCGCTTCCTCTTCCGCGTCCTGCTCCTCCCATGTCATGAACCGATGTCTCCTCCTCATGCTGCCCGCGTTCCTCCGACCTCCTCATTCACATGCTGCTGCTCTTCATCGTCATCACTATCATCAGCACAACCACAATCACCATCAACATCATCACTTGCATTGGCTCAAGTAATTCCACAGGGTTCTTGCACACTCTCTCCCTCTCTCTCTCTCTCTTTCTCTCCTTCTTTCTCTGGCTCTCTTGCTCTCTTTCTATTGTTGTTTGTTTCATCTCTCGCGCTCTCTCTCTCTCTCTCTCTTTGTTCTCGAAGTTGTTCCAGCTTTCCGCCGTTCGTCGTCACGGGCATGACGGTCGACGAAGGCGCTCTTCCTGAAGCCCGGCGCCCGCGGGAGGAGTTTTCTGTGTTTGGTGATGAGGGTCTGGTCGCATGGTAGAATCAGTGACGGTTTTAAGAGATTGAGAGCGATATTGATTCTACAAGTTCGGCCCGTTTGGAGGCTATCAGGTTGACGGCCGGAGACAGGTGGACGATGTCTCCCACAAGGTGGAGACCGTCGGGCACCAGATGCAGGGGATGGACGGCCGCACGTCTGTCTTAGAGGGCGTGGCTCAGAAGTTCGAAGACGGTTGGTTATGTGGGAAGTTCTGGCGGAGGGGGCGCTGGTGAGTTCAGGAACAGATGCGGTGCACCCAGGTCGAGCGATGTCGTGCACCCTCCAAACGGGACGTGTTGTGTTGTGTGGTGGGCGGGTTACCCAACGATGCGGCGGTGGAGGTCATTCGGGAGACCATGAGGAAGGCGGTCTTGCACAACCCAGGTCAGGGAGTCGTGTGCATTGTGGGGGGGGGGGGCACCGAGGACGTGTTCGCAGCTGCTGGCTACAACGATATACATAATATTTGCTGTGTTGCTTCAATGTATACACGGATTTGGCCTAAGGTTTGGAAGGGTAAGGCATGTTATTTCCGCGGCCCCGCTTCCGTTCCACAGCGTCGTAAAATGAGCCTGGCGAAGGACCCAACCATATGCAGCTGTGAGCACCGCAGTCGTGAGTATCATCTTCGGTGGAGCTCCCCATGGGGCCACGAAACGTGTGAGAGGTGTGCCGAAATGGGTGTGGCGGACGCATGTGGACGGTGCCACTGGGGCCTCAGGTGGAGCTCCCTATGGGTGTGAGGGGTGTGCCGAAATGGGTCTGGCGGACGAATGCGGACTGCGCCACTGGGACCTTAGGTGGAGCTCCCTATGGGGCCACGAAGCGTGTGAGGGGTGTGCCGAAATGGGGCGGCGCCGCCATGCGGACTGCGCCGCTGGGACCTTAGGTGGAGCTCCCTATGAGGCCACGAAGCGTGTGAGGGGTGTGCCGAAATGGGGCGGCGCCGCCATACGGACTGCGCCACTGGGACCTTAAGTGGAGCTCTCTATGGGGCCACGAAACGTGTGAGGGGTATCCAAAATCAGGCGGCGCCGCCATGCGGACTGCGCCACTGGGACCTTAGGTGGAGCTTTCCCCATGGGGCCACGAAACGTGTGAGGGGTGTGCCAAAATGGGGCGGCGCCGCCATGCGGACTGCGCCACTGGGACCGTAGATGGAGCTCCCCATAGGGGAGCTCCCTATGGGGCCACGAAGCGTGTGAGGGGCGTTCCAAAATAGGACGGTGGGAGGAGGGAGGAGGAGGAGGAGGAGGCGAGGATAGGAGAGGAGAGGAGAGGAACGCGGGGACCGCCTGTTCAAAACGAGGACCCAACACAGGATGGTTGGGGAAAAAAGCTTGAGGAACAAACCATCAGCCGTAAGACGAGCAGAGCCGCGACGGTGGCGACGGTCGGCTCACAACTTCCAACACAAAGTCTAGTATTACAGCGGTGGTCCACGGCGACTGTGACCACGGCGTCGTACGCTACGTTCCGGGGATGAGCGAGGTCCACCGCATCTACTGTATTCCGAAGGGAGGCGATACGCGCTAAGATGGCGGCGGCGAGGCCAGCAGCGGTTTGGATGGTTGCTTCGCAGAGAAGCTTTCAGGGATCAACATCGGGCGACGCGGGTTTCAAACGAACGGACCGCGCATGCGGCGGGATCCTCGTGAACTTTGCGGACAGCTGCCAGGACGCATGTGAGCAGTTGCTGCCAGGTCATAGGTGGCAGGCCTACGTGGTACACTCTTCCCTTGCAGGATTTCTTGACGCGCCGACACTGGCGGCCTGCTCGCAAATTCGCTTCGTTCCGCCACCCGGACGCCGCTTTCGCTCCTAGACGGTCGCCTGGGAGCCGCCGACCAAAAAAAGTATCCCCACCAGTGGCTAATTAGTTTTGCTCGTAGCCCGAGCTGACTTGTGACGCCGCTGTGCGCCTTCGCCTGCGGCTGCGACGAAACAAAGTTTCCCCACCAGTTGCGGGCCGACTTCGGACACCGCCTGCGCTTCCGCTTGCGGCCGCGAAAAAAAATCCCCACCAGCCTAGCTTGCTCGGCGTTCGACTCGTCTTCGCGCGCCCGCGTACCAAAAAGTACATATCCCCACCAGCCCATCCAGAAAGGATGCCCAGGCGAGTTGCCTCTCAGAGTCTCCCCGGATGACTCTTGCAATCCTTTTGGAGGCCTCCTGGAGCGTCTTGGGGGCCTCTTTGCGGTCCCAGGGGCCTCTTGGAGCGTCTTGGGTGCATCGGGGAGCCTCCTGGGGCCTCTTGGGGGTCTCTTGGGGACATTTTGGAGGCCTCTGGGGCGCCTCTTCAGGCCTCCTGGTCGCTTCTTGGGGCCCTCTTGAGGCGATCTTTGGAGTCTTGGGAGCGCTTTCGAGGCCATCTTGGAGAAGATCGATCGATTAATGGGAGCTCCAATTGCGGTCCCCCCCCGTGTGCCCAAAAAATCACCTTTTGGGTCCCTCTTGGGGCGCTCTTGGAGCGCTCGAGGCCTCGGAAGGCCATCGGAAGCGAAAGGGCGAGAAGGCAAACCTCACTGATTTGCCTTAGGTGTTTGAAGAACGTTGGCTTTGTTGGCGGCCTCCTGGGGAGGCTCTGCGGCCATTCGGAGCCGTCTGAAAGCTGTTTTGGGGCTTCTTGGAGCATGTTGGGAGCCCTGTTAACCCATCTTGGGCTATCTTGAACCATTTTGGAGATCATCTTGGGCTCTCTGAGGTCCTCTTAGAGCCATCTTGGTCCGTTTTGGACATTCCAACGCCTCGCGAACCCCCCACCTCCGGGCCCAGGGGATGGGGTGAAGGCAAGCTAGGTGCGCTCGCGTCATATCTGAGATCCTACCCCTCCCTCCCATCCCTTATCATGTCGTAGATCCCCTCTCTACTCGCACAGTCGGATGTCGAGCAGGGCAATGATCCCGAAAGGGTACGCGATGCATTGTAGAGCACGGCATGGCAGGGCGTAGAAGAGCACCGCAAAGCGTAGTATCAACCTAGCATTGCATTGCATGCCGTGGCATGGCGCGGGAAATGACGCCAGCGCTGTAGCGGGAGCACGAGTCGGAACGAGCGGAAGCGCTGAAATGAGGCCAGCGCTGCAGCGGGAGCACGATTCGGAACGAGCGGAAGCACGGAAATGATGCCAGCGTTGCAGCGGGAGCACGATTCGGAGCGAGCTGGGCCCGAAAATGAGGCTGGCGCCTCAGCGAGAGCAGTAGTTTGGAAAAAAATGCAGGCGAAAACCCAACTCCGGGGAATCCTGTGTGTAAAACAACAGTACACAGGGGGGGGCTAATACTTTCAAACCGTCATCCGGGGAAGAGGGAGAGTAGTATTCATGTTGAGTAATTGTGGAGGGGTTGACCCCTCCCCGACGGGAACGAGGGAGGGGGGTTGGACGAGAAACAGCCCTAGTCCACCTACGCCCAGGGGGCTGGTGGGATATACACAGAGACGCTCCGATTTATCCGGGCACTACGTACCATGGTCGCGCGATATACTTGAGCGACTCGCACAACGGGATGCACAGGATGGCGATTTTAGTTCGTTGCCTTTGCCCAGCAAGCGTCGGGCCCGTGTCGTTTCTGCATTGTTGGGGCGAGCTGGTGCGATGCATCTTTTTCGTTGTGAACGGCCACGTGCCTGCGACGAGGGGCTCAGGCCGTGGCGAGTACGAATTGAGGGATGATTCTTAGGGGATATGATTCAGAACAAGCGTGACACGAACGTTGCGATTGGTTTACACACTCACCGTGCGATTTTCGACGGCTCGGGCAGCGTTTCTGGCCTGGTCGACCTTTATGCGTTGGCAGGTCGGGGCGATTGTGGGAGTTTGCTCGTTCGTGGCCTGCGCAAATGGAATATCGCAGTTGCCGCCACGTATTATAACATCGGATGAGGCAGCTGAACTTGCGAATGCCCACGGAAGGAAATCTATCAATTTTGCACGTCAGCACATATGCGACATCTGTGCGGGGCCCGCTTGCTATAGAGTCGCGCCACGACGTCCGACCGCAGGGGCATGGCGCATGGCATGCGAAAGCAGACCGCGGCAGGACATGGACCCTCGCCATCTCAGCGCAGTTCAACCCAGGATACCCCAAGCCCATCGGTTGGACTTTAGAGGAGTTGTCGTCTCACATGCTGGCTGGTGATGGATGAGTTCGGTCTCGCTTCAGTTGCCCTGGGCCCAAAGTATCGGCCTCGCATCTGGCGTACCTTCGCGGGCGGCAGCGCAAAGCTCAGGAGGGAAAGAAACACACAGACACAATTCATCGTCAATTCCCTTCAAAAACCTGGGAAAAATATGGGAAGTGGGGGGGAAGACAAAACCAGAAAATATATGGGGAAATATGGGGAACCTGTTTTTTTTGTGTGTCTATTTCTTTGTGTGTCCTGGGGCCCCTTCAAGAGCGGAAACGGGGCCACCGCGAGAAGGCTGGCCGGGGACTCGCCAGCCACGGCCCAGCCCCCGGGGAGCGAGCGCGCGCGTCTGTGTAGAGAGGCCACCAGGCTCCCGCCGCTCCGACCCAGAGAGGCCGCCGGGCTGCCTCGGGCCGACAGGTGCGCCCACGAGGCGGGGGCGCCCCCGTCGCGCGGGGGGCTTATTTTTGCCGGAGGCGGCAAAGAGGGGGGTGATGACTAGGGGGGGGTGGATCTCGTGGCGGGGGTCATGATGTTTCCCCAGACTTCATGGCGCCGCTCCGATCCAGAGGCCGCTGGGTTGCCTCGAGTCGACAGGTGCACCCACGAGGCGGGGGCGCCCCCGTCGCGCGGGGGGCTTATTTTTGCCGGAGGCGGCAAAGAGGGGGGTGATGACTAGGGGGGGGTGGATCTCGTGGCGGGGGTCATGATGTTTCCCCAGGTTTCATGGCGCCGCTCCGATCCAGAGGCCGCTGGGTTGCCTCGAGTCGACAGGTGCACCCACGAGGCGGGGGCGTCCCCGTCGCGCTGGGAGCTTCTTGGAGAGGCCTGACGGCCGGTGCTGCCGACCCTGATCGAAAGGGCCAGGAGTGGGGGGATGAAGCGGAGGAGGAGGAGGAGGAGGAGGAAGGGAGGAGGGGGAGGAGGAGGAGGAGGAGGAAAAGGAGGAGGATGAGGAGGAGGAGGAGGAGGAGGAGGTCGACAGGTGCACCCACAAGGCGGGGGCGTCCCTGTCGCGCTGGGAGCTTATTTCTCTCTTTTGGCTATCTCGCAGTTGGCTCCCTGGCAGGCCTCGTGCAGGGGCCGCGCGGCAATCCGCCCCAGCGCCGCGTGCGGCATCGGTCTGATGGCGGGTCGTTTCCGCCCTCGCGACCATGCCGCGATCGCGGCGTTGGGGCGAAATGCGTAAAGTAGTCAAAGTTCAGATGTTATTGGTCATTACCAGCCTGGAACATATCCCTATCCCTATGCTGGGCATCTCCTCATCACGATGCCAATCTTGGGGACTTCCTTGGCTTTCAGGGCGAACCCCTAAGATTGTCATCGTCTTCTGGCGTGTCAATCTTAGGGATAGGGATAAGTTCGAGGCTGGTAAGGTCAGGGGGTACTCCAGATTTCGTAATAAAGGGAGGGGGGTCTCATTTCGGGGGGGTCTCTTCCAGGCTATCTTGGAGGGCCTGGGGGGGTCTGGGGACGATGTTTTGGAGGGTTCTCCCACGGGGGAGGTCTGAAATGGCTTGTCTTGGAGGGTCCAGACCCCCTCCCTTTGATTACGAAATCTGGAGTAAAGTCGTCAGAGTTCAGGAGGAGGAGGAGAGGAGGAGGAGGAGAGGAGGAGGAGGAGGAGGAGGAGGAGGGAGGGAGGGAGGAGGAGGGGGAGGAGGAGGAGGAGGAGGAGGAGGAGGAGGAGGAGGAGGAGGAGGAGGAGGAGGAGGAGGGATAGGGATAAGTTCGAGGCTGGTAAGGTCAGGGGGTAACTTGCAGGCGGGGGGGGGGGTCTGCGCCGCGCGCCCGGCGACGGGCGGGGCCGCCCCGTCGCGCCCGCCGCGCGCGGGGGGAGCTGCGAGATGCCCAGAGGCCAGGTCGCCCGCGCTCCCGGCGCGCCACCGCCAGATTCTCGCTAGAATCGGGGGCGGAAAAGAGGGGGGTGATGACCGGGGGGGGGGGGATATCATGGCGGGGGCCATGATATCTCCCCAGATTTCGTGGCGCCTCTTCTTATTTCATCACGTCCCTGGCACCCCGCTGGGCCGCGCACATGCCGCCGGTCATGATTTGCACCCCCCCCTCTTGGACACCCCCCTCTTGGCCGCTCCCGGTAAAACGACGCGAAGATCGGGACAAAATCGGATCGGGATAACTCGAAATCTCTGAGAACCGGCGGGTTTGGCGGATGTATTGGGCGCCGCGGCCGCTCCAGAGCGTTCCGGGACGCTCTGAGAGCGCTCCGGAACGCTCTGGAGCGATTTATCCCGATCCTAGCCCTGTTTTACTCGCGCATCTAGCAGCCCAGCCTGTTTGCCAGGTCACCTCCAGCAGCAGTTCCTGCCGCCGAAGACCTCGCGGTCGCGGCGTCGAGGGCGGCCCCGGGACGCGGCGAGCCACCTCGCTGTCGGACGGTCGAATTTGGGGAGGGAGAGGAGGGAGCTAAGTCCCTACGAGGAGTGGAACATGAGAGGGGATTGACTGCTCACGGGACAGAAACTGCTGGATTGCCCTATGGCATCGCTCACTGTCGTCGCAAGATTGCGGCAGAGAGGTTTCATGCGAACGCCGGGCGGCGCGCTGCAAGGGGAAGAGAAACAAGAGGCCTCCGACCAAAGCCTTTGATCTGTCCCTCTTGGGAGACGAGGGCGGACAGGGGGGGTGTTCGACCGGGGGGGGAACTCGAGGTACCCACCAAGTCCCATGACGAGTTGCTCGCACCTGAGATCCCTCGTGAGGTGCCCGCTTGGATGTCTGAGCAGCGGCTGGTTCGAGCTCTGCTGGAGCTGGCCCTCGGCCCCGCGTCGTTATCGAGGGAAGCGCTTTCTCGCATTTCTGCCCAGGAGTCGCGCAGCCAGGACCTCGCCGCGTCTTGGGCGCCACAAGCCCGGGCAACTTTGCGAGGAGGGGGGGGGGATCTGGGGCGCCCTTTGCCACGTACATTTATGTCGGGCGTGTCCCCCTACAGGGGGATCTTCGACGAAAATTTTAGGATACCCGAAAAATACCCCAAAAAGATCTGATAACATTCAAAAAATAGTTCCCAGACTATTTTTGGATTATTTTTTGATTATTTTGGGGGTATTTTTTCTTTTTCGTTGAAAATCCCCCTGTAGGGGGACAGGTCCGACTTAAACGTACATGGCGTCGCCATTGTCAAAGACGGAGGGGGAACGGCGCTCTCGAGGAATTTCGCCCGCCCGCCGATCTGCCGGTCACTTAAGTGGCGCAGACTGCATGCTTCTGCCGCCAGCACCTCCAGCCGCGCGGCCGCTGCCGCCATGCCAATTTGTTTTTCGCAAACACCTCCAAATAGGGGAGGTCTTGCCTATTTAGAGACACTTGGTGGAAGTGGGGGTGGAGTGGGAGGCGGGCCAATAGCAGCGCGGGCAGGGGGGTGGAGGGATCTGAGTTCTGCGTTTGAGCTTCACCAGCTGACCCAGTCGAAACCCAAGCGGAGGGGTAGGTTGTCACTGCACATGGGGCTCTGCAGCGCCCGAACTTCCCAATTGGACGTTGGACCCACTGGCGACGAGTTTGCGGGCTGGCGTCTGCAGCAAAGGTTCGGCATCTTTCTTGCCGAAGGCACGTATATTCTCATCACCCTTTTCGCTGGTAGTGTCTGGTTCTGTTCCCGGGCCCCCGTGCATATCGAGCCGATGCATGAGAAGTGGGGGCCCATCCTAGTTCTGCTTGGCTTAAGACCCTCACGAATGTAAGCACATGGAGTTTGACGATCGACTGCGGCGAAATGAGGGGGCGAGGGCCCTGAAGTTCAAGACAAGGAGGGGGGTGTCGTTCGCTGCCCAGATCGGAGCGATGTGGTTAAAGCTTTCCGGCGCGATCACCACCTTCGAGACAACGACGAACGTGTTTTCCAGATGAGGCTAGATGACACGCGGGTCGCGTTTTCGGCCAACTTTTCACCAACTGTGTTGCCGACGTGCTTCTTTGCGGCAGCGCATGCAGCTGCTGGAGAAGATTGTGCGCCCTTGCGTTTTGTTGGGCGCCATGTCTTGGATACATCGGTCGGACTAGCTGCACAAGCTGGCGGGTGCACAAGCGAAAACGCAGTGGCGCATGGCGTGTCTTCGGAAGCGGCCAGGTGAATTACGTGGAGATTCCCAGTACGTACCGTATTTGCAGCAGGCGGAAATGGCACGGTGACAGATATTTCATCACCCGCTGGGAGAAAATTATGTCCGACGGTTGTGCTTGTGGGCTGGCCACATTGCGAGTCGATTGGTGGACTGGATGATCGAGGGATGCCGACTGTTGGGAGAGGGTGGAAGAGCGGCTCGGAAAGACCGGCCAGGGCTTGGACACGGTGAGCCTCGGAGTGTCTGGGGCTGGGAACGAAGGTCAAGCATATATAAGCTTGGAGTGACCGGGGGAGCGAGAGGGCGCAGGGTTGTGTGAGAGCCGAGAGTTAGCTCTGATTCGTCTGTGTTGTCTTGCAGTCTGTACTTCCCCGCATGATCAGAGACCTGTCTTTCCCGCTGAGGTCTTACAGCAAGCACCTCAGCCTCATCACCTTCACCACAACCACCACCACCAACACCATCATCATTATCGTCATCATCATCATCATCATCATCATCATCATCATCATCATCATCATCAGCAGCAGCAGCAGCAGCAGCAGCATCGTTCTGCTCCTTTTGCTCCTCCTGCTCTTCTTGCTCCTCCTACCCCGATGTCCTCTTGAGACGTCCCTCGTGCTCCCCCCCCCCCGTTTTGGACCCCCCAAGACCCCCGCGCCCGAGGTAGAGCAGTACAAGCCCCTCATATACGTCTTGCGTGGAGCCGACGGCACAACGTACGACCTTAAGGATACCGCTGGGATGTGCATGGGTGGGGCAATGATAGGAGGACGTGAGGAATGGAGGAGGGAAGAGGGGAGGATGACCTCGGGGGAAAGTTGGGCAAGGGACGAGGAGGAGGGAGAAGGAGGAGGTGGACCAGGAGCAGAGCTCGCACGGCAGAAAAAGCGTGAGCGATCCTGGTGCTTGGCACCCCCCCACCTCCTCCTTGCGTCGCGCAGTCACCCACACACATCCTCTTGTTCCTTTTCTGGCGATGCGACGGCGCCACTTCGAGTGCAAAAACGGGCCACGCTCGAGCACGCTGGAGTCCACCAGGCGTTGCGGGTGGCGCCCCCCCCCCACACACACACACACGCACCACCAAACGCGCGCCCGCGGCCGCCTTTGCCCAAGTCGAAGGAGACACCGGGCGACACGCGAGCCTCTCTGCGGGGACACTTGGACTTGGCATCGCTCGGACGTGTGCACTTTTCCTTCGGCGAGGACCTTCGAGGAGCATCCTCGACCATTTGGCGAAAAAACCACGCACGAAACCGAAACAAACACAGGCAATGGACGTCCGAGCGATGGCCAGCTGGGCGACGCGCGAGCCTCTCTGCGGGGACACTAGGAGAGCGCGGCTATCACCGCTGGCAGCCCGACCCTCCAATCGAGACCAAAGTCAGGAGGCGAAAAAACACACAGATACAATTAATCGCCGATTCCCAAGAAAATAGGGGAAAATCTGGGCAGTGGGGGGGGGAAGACAGAAACCCCGAAAATATTGGAAAATATGGGGAACTCCTTTTATTTGTGTGTATTTATATGTGTGTCCCAGGGCCCCTTCAGCAAGACCATTCACGCCAGAGGCACGGGAGGCTGTGGTGGGCGCGGCCGCCGTTGCCGCGTGAGGCCGTGGCGCACGCCCCCGTCGGGCAGCACAGACGTTCACACCGCGGCCCGCTGCCTCGGCCCGTGCTCCCCCGCGACGCCAGGCAGCGCTCGATTTGCAAGCGAGAAAGAACCGTAAGAATCGACACATAGTGAGAATGAGAAGAAGAGTAAGAATAGTGAGAATCGACGAATAGTGAGAATGAGAATCGACGAATAGTGAGAATGAGAACAGGACCGTAAGAATCGACGAATAGTGAGAATGAGAAGAAGAGTATGGAAGGGGATGAACACGCGGCGAACGCAACGGGCAGCGACGCCAGCTGACCCCGAGCCAATGACAGCGCGTACGCCATTTGACGTGAGACCGCGCGAGTGGAGCCCCCTTCACTCCGATCACTGTTGCTGGCCGTAGTCTTGCCACCATGGATCATAGTCATACCTGCTCCCCCCGTTCCCTCTGCAGGGGAGAGCCGCAGGCCGCAGGGCCCGGCGCGACGGCCAGCCCAGGCCAGGGGCTGGCCGCATGGCGCGCTTCCTCCCGTGGTGTTTCCCCCCCCCCCCCGTCCCTGTACTCTCCCGCTCTGCCTGCCTGCTTGCCTCCCCCATGCCTCCCCTGCCTCCTTGCCTCTCTCTCGCCTCGGCTCCCCATCCGCGCCTCCTCCCGCCCCGTCCCCTCCCCACTTCGTCCGCATCCCTCCCTTCCCCTGCTGCCTCCCCCCCCCTCCCTGTCTACCTTCCGCGCCCGCCCTTCCTGCCTCCCTCCCTGCCTCCCCCTGTCTCCCCCCCCGTCCCTCCCGGACTCGTCCGCCACCCCTTTTCCGTTCCCCGTGCCCCCCCCCCGACCGTCCGTCCCATCTCTTACGCTCCTTCGCTCCTAATTCCCTGCCTATCTACCCTCCACCCTCCTTCCTTCCCTCCCTCTCTCCGCTGCTTCCCTCCTTGCCCCCCGGCCCTCTTTCCCCCTCTCCCTTTGCCCTCTGCCATGCTTGACTCCCTGTCCTACCTACAACCCTCCCTCTCTCCCTCAACCACCTGCCTTCCTCTCCTTCTCTTCCTTTCCACATTCGCGCCACCCGTCTCTCTCTCTCTCTCTCTCTATCTCTCTCTCTCTCTCTCTCTCTCTTTCTCCTTCATTTTTGTCATTTCTCTCTCTCTCTCTCTCTCTCTCCTTTAGTCTGTATCTCCCTCTCTCTGTTGTCTGTATCTCCCTCTCTCTCACTCTCTTTCTTTCTGAATTGCTTATTATCTCTCTATGGTTGTTGTTTCCCCTTTTCCCCCCCCTCTCTCTGTGTTTCTCTGTTTCTCTCTCTCTCTCTCTCTCTCCCTCTCGTTCTCTCTGCCTCTCTCTCTCTCTGTTTGTCTGTCTGCCTGTCTGTCAGTCGGTCTGTCTGCCTGCCTGCCTGCCTGTCTGCCTGTCTGTTTGTCTGTCTGTCTATATGTCTGTCTGCCTGCCTGCCTGCATGTCTGTATGTATCTCTCGCTCTCTCTATCTCTCTTTCTCTCCGTTTCTCTCTTTCCCCTCATCATCCCTCATGTCTCCGCCCCTCTTGTCGAGCCCCCCCCCTCTCTCGTCGAGGACCTCCCTCAGAACCGCTTCAAACCTTCGAGAGCCTTAGAGAACAGGTCGTCGTCGTCCTCCTCCTCCCCGCGCTTCTTGTCGCCCTCACCCTTCCCCTCGACATCGCCCCCCTTGGAGCTTTCCAAGGGTGCGCTTCGAGGCGAGCCCGTGGCAACGATGGCCCCCCGAAAGTGATAAAAATGGGGTGGGTGAGACGCGTCGACGCCGCCCTCATCCCTCATCCGCGCCCTCTCATCGTCCTCGTCATCGTCATTACCATCATCACTAACCGCAGCATCATCATCCCTCCACCTCCTCCCCTCGCGCCTCGAGGTGACGCAGGAGACCTACATGGTCGGCGCGGAGGGCGGGGACGAGTGCCGGCCCTCGTTCATGCGCCTCGACATCAACAACAAGTATGGGCCAGCCGTCATCCTGGGCGAGGCTCTGCGCGCGCCCGGCCCCGGATCGGAGCGCGCGGGGACGACCCGGACCCCTAGTGGGCCCTGGAAACGACAGGGCCGTTTTTTTTACCGGTTCCGTTTTGCCGTTTTTTTACCAGTTCCGACGCTGTTTTTTGGCCGTTTCTGGTCGCCGTTTTTTTCACCGGTTCCGGCTCCGGTTCCAATCCTGGAGCTGTTTTTTTGGCCGTTTCCGGTCGCCTTTTTTTGCCGTTTCCATTTTCAATGGACATTTTTCTGGAAACGTTGAAAAAGCGGCCCTGCCGTTTCCGAGGCCCACAAAGCCCGGACCCCTTCGAGTCGTGACAAAGCCCACGACGGAAGTTCTTGGACGTTATCGGCCTCCCGCGCCCCTCACCCGGCCCCAGGGCCCTCCCCAGAAACGGCTTGGGAGGGCAGCCGGTCCCAGAGAGGCGGTCCAGAGCTGCGGGGGGCCAGGCTTGACAGGATCGACTACACGCAAGAGTGACCTTTCTCGCCGGAGTGACCGTTGGAGCGGGCACAACGGGAGTCCCCTCGCGTCACCGATTGCGATGCGATGGCAGCGTCTTGCTCGCCCGAGTTTGGTCCCCCCGCGGCCCACCCACAGCCGCGCACCAGAGGTCACTCTTGCCCAGGGTCACTCTTGCGTGCAGCCAGCAGGAGCTCGGCGTCGGTGGCGGTGGCATGGGGAGTGAGCTCCTGCTCCCTCCCCCAGCCTCGCTTCCCCCCGCTCCCCCCTCCTCCGCTCGAGGGAGGAGACAGGCTAGGAGGAGAAGGAGCAGAGTACGCCCAGGCTCATGAGGTCTCAGCGATGGTGCAGTACAGTGGGAACCCATGCCAAGAAACGCCCTGCTGGCCTCCAGGGTGCCCTGGTTTTTTGGGATTGAGTGGTTTTGCTATGGAAAGCGTGACGTTCTCACACCAAAAACCAGCGGACGTCCTGGGGTCTCAGGGTTGGGTTTCTTGTCCAAGGTTTCTTGTGGTCGAGCTCCTACTGTAGGCCCTCCCGTCCGATGTCGACTCCACATGAGTCCCTACAGGACGCTTTTCTCCACTGCGCGATGCACAAACCTTGAGAGACGGGCGCTCCATGGGCTGACGTTTCAGGCGGCAGCTCCATCTTGAAAGAAACTGCCATCCATACGTCGAGCCAGCAGGAGTGCCACATGGTGGAAGTTCAAGGAAGACCCCAGCGACAGCCCCACTTTTAAAAGGAGAAGACCTCCATCACTGCAACAGCTGAACATGAACACGCATGTTGTGCTACATGTTGTGAAATCCACAGGCGAGACCCATATCTTCGAAAAGAGCGCCCACCATTAGTGCTGCTGTTGTTGTTGTGGTTGTTGTTGTTATTGTTGTTGCTATTGTTAATGATGTTGATTGTTTCGCATTCTGTTTAACACTCGAGTGTGCGCGGCGCCAAGGCGATTGCCCCATCGGGAGAACCATTCGCCCTCCCTCAAACCGAAGAGAAGACGGGGGGGCGAGGGTGGGATCGGACAGGTGGTCGCAGCGAGGGTGTCCTGCCCACCTGCGGGACGTGGGCTCCCACGAAATCGGGGAGCCCACGCCTCGGCTGCACGATGTCTTTGATTCTCAGGGGCAGCGTTCGGGGCGGGGATCGGCTCAGGACGGGATGCGTTACAGTCCGCCCGCACAGCAGGGATGGGCAACCTTCCCAAGGGTACCCTTTCGTCCTTGCCTCCCCGGTCCATCCTTGGCCACTTTCGTTGGGTGCGCCCCGATCAACAAGCTTCGAAATGGGCGTCCAAGGCCCTTGCATCCTTCTCGCGCGTCCTTATCATACGGGATGACTGTATCCCCCAATCGCATCGCCGATAGGGGCCCGAAAGCCCACCCCGCCCAGGAACTTCCCGATTTCCCATAGGGGGCCAGTTGCCAACCTATCGGCGATGTATCGCCTCCTCCTCCTCCTCCTCCTCCTCCTCCTCCTCCTCCTCCTCCTCCTCCTGCTCCTCCTCCTCCTTCTCCTCCTGCACCCCTGCCCTCCTCCCCTCCTTGGGGCCCTCCACCCGCTTCTCGTTGCCCCTCAGATTCGCACCCCTCTCGCAAGAACCTCTCGCGTGCAAGCAGAAAAGGAGAGCACTCCTCCGGGGCAGCTCGGGGACGCCCAGGGCCGCCCAGAGGCGCGTTCTCGCATGCACAGCGCTGTGGTGGCTTTCCCTCGACTCCCCTGCCCGTCCTTCTCCCCAGACCTCCGACGTCGCGATGTGCTCCCCACCCATCAGGTTAGGGTTAAGTCGGGCCTGTCCCTCTACAGGGGGAATATTCAAAAATAGTCAAAAAAATAGTCTGGGGACTATTTTTTGAGTATTTTTTGGGCCATTTGGGAGCTTTTTTTTATTATTTGTCATTTTTCGTCCAATCTCCCCCTGTAGGGGGACACGCCCGACGTAAGGTTGGGGCTGTTAGACCTGGGCCGGCACGGAAACGGAAAGAGCGCCTCAAACACATGAACCGAAGTTACTCACACCACCGTTCGTACTGGGAGCCTTGGCGTTGAGAGCTTGTTACGTCACCCCTCGCTCCTCCTCCTCCTCCTCCTCCTCCTCCTCCTCCTCCTCCTGCTCCTCCTCCTCCTCCTGCTCCTCCTCCTCCTCCTCCTCCTCTTTCCCCTCCCCCTCCTCCTCCTCCTCCTCCTCCTCCTCCTCCTCTCCTCCTCCTTCCTCCTCCTCCTCCGCCTCCGCCTCCGCCTCCGCCTCCGCCTCCGCCTCCTCCTCCGCCTCCGCCTCCTCCTCCTCCTCCTCCTCCTCCTCCGCCTCCTCCTCCTCCTCCTCCCTCCTCCTACTCCTCTCCTCCTCCTCCTCATCCTCTTCCTCCCCTCCTCCTTCTACCTCCCTCCTCCTCCCTGGCCTCGCCCTCGTTCCTCCTCCTCCTCCTCTCCCTCCTCCTCCTCTTCCTCCTCCTCCTCCTCCTCCTCCTCCTCCTCCTGCTACCTACCTCCCTCCTCCTCCTCCTCCTTCTCCTCCTCCTCCTCCTCCTCGTCTCCTCCTCGTCTTCCTCCTCCTTCCGCTCCTCCTCGTCTCCTCCTCCTCCTCCTCCTCCTCCTCCTCCTCCTCCTCCTCCTCCTCCTCCTCCTCCTCCTCCTCCTCCTCCTCCTCCTCCCCCTCCCCCTCCCCCTCCTCCTCTTCGGGCGCGCTGGGGATCCTATTGGGGCCCCTTTGGGCTCTCTTAGGGCCCTTGGGGCCTTCTTGGCCGTCTTGGGCCCGTCTGGGGGCCCTCTTGGACCGCTATGGGCCCGTTTGGGGCGCCTCCGGGGCCGTCTTGGGACGATATTTGGGGCCTATGGGCCGTCTTGGGCCCGTCTGGGCAATAAACGGGCCATGGGACCCGCCCGGGAGCCGCTTCACTCGAAACAATACGAGGGAAACGGGCTATTAGACCATCCGTCTGGGCCTCGCACCCCCCCTGGACCCCCCCTAAGAAGGGCTTCGCCCCCTACTCAACATCACTCGCTCGTACCTCGCTCTTTCCGTCATTTGGAGGAAGAGCTCTCGGCCCGCCTCGCACGCCCTGCCCACATGCCGCAGCCGACAGGCCTCACTGGGGGAGGAGGAGGAGGAGGAGGAGGAGGAGGAGGAGGAGGAGGAGGAGGAGGAGGAGGAGGAGGAGGAGGAGGAGGAGGAGGAGGAGGACAGGAGGAGGAGGAGGAGGAGGAGGAGGAGGAGGAGGAGGAGGAGGAGGAGGAGGAGGAGGGGGAGGGGGAGGGGAGGGGGAGGGGAGGGGAGGGAGGGGGAGGAGGATGAGGCCCTGGTGCTCCCTGGGTCTCCCGCCTCCCGTCTCCGGTGGACGACGACTGCACGCGCCGGCCGCCAGGCCCCAAGGGCCCCGGTGCTCCCCGGGCATCCCTCCTCCCGATCGCGGGTGGGCGTCTCACCACCCTTCTCCACCTCTCCTTCTCCTCCTCCTCCTCCTTCCTCCCTTCTCCTCCTCCCTCCTCATCCTCCTCCTCCTCCTCCTCCTCCTCCTCCTCCTCCTCCTCCTCCTCCACTCCTCCTCCTCCTCCTCCCTCCTCCTCCTCCTCCTCCTCCTCCTCCCCCTCCTCGGGTCGCCTACGGCCCCGGGGGAAACCGTGCAGCCATCACCACCCACCAAACCACCCCAACCCAACCCGAAGGCTCAGATTTACCCTCGATTTCCAGTGGGGGGGGGTCGGGGAGCATCGACAAAAAACACATGTGGAACCCTTGCCCCCCCAACCCGGAGTTCGGGTCTTCGGGTTGGGTCGGGGTGGTCTGGTAGGTAGTCAGCATCGCTGTCGGCGCCGGAGTTCTGTCATCCGTGTCGGCCTCTGGAGGCCCGCTTTCGGCCCGAGGACCCTCAAGGAACATCCCGGCAGGAGGAACCGTCTGCGGGGAAGGGGCCGAGGGAGCTCCCGTGACGCGCCACTGTTGAAAAGCATGGTGGCGGCAGTCTCGACGCCCTCCTCCATCTGCCCCTCTCCGCCTGATCGCGCTGCCGTCCTTTTCCTCGCTGCGTGGAGGTCTTCATGCGCCACTTCTTCACCGTATTCAGGACACATCATGCTGCTTCGTTTTTCCAGGGGAGCAGGAGTCAGACTCGAATCAGGTAGTCATCAGCGAGCGAAGAACGGTATAAAGTATTTTTTTCGCTTGGGGGCGCCTGTCCCTGGGCGGCTGGAAAATTTGTACCCCTACGGTGCCACCGTAAGGGTATAAACTTTCCAGCCGCCCTGGGACAGGCGCCCCCGACAGCGAAAAAGTTTATGTTATACCGTTCTTCGCTCCCTCAAGTCAAGGGGTGAGACCAAATAGGTCTCAGTTGGGCTCCCCACCCCCGACACAATGAGGGCACACGCGCCTTCTTCAGCAGAACGGCATGAGGAAAAGGGGAAAGGTGTAGCAGCCGCATTGCAGCCCTTTGCTCGAATTGATAAGCTAGCTGCGGGCCAGAGATTACATTGAAGGACCCTCCAAAACACCATGGGGCTAACAAATCATCCAGTCCCACAGGATGTTGCTTTTTTATTGTACATATGTTAAACCACAGTTCGGATGATAAGGAGGTGGGTGAATCTCGTCGGCCCTGACAGTGCCATTGTGCATCCGTCAACCCAACACTGTGAGTACCGCGTGCCATGTCGGCCCCCACCGCGTTGTGCCACTATCGCAGAGCAGCCAATCCAGCCTGAACGTGTGGCTGTTGCCGTCGTCTTCGCCACGTTGGGCTTCGTTCGGGGAATCGTACATGAGCGTGCAGCGACACGGACATGTACATGTCCCCCACACAAGTTGTGCAAATGGAGCGGCGGAAGCCATGATTTATTGACGTCGTTCTGGGCTAGCCAGCGGGCCCGCGGAACGGCAAGGCTTTGGTTCTGCAAGCCAGCCGTGACTATCACTTTGTTCTGGCGCTGCGGAGGACACGAGATATTGATGAGCACGTTGTGCTTTGGATCGCTAGCGATCGTTGAGCTTCAATGCCGGACAACTTGACGAGAACCTTCTGTGGCGCGCGATGATTCGATGGTCGAATGCAGACATGCGTCGGACGTGTGCATGGCACGTGGTAGCCGGAGACGGATTTTGCGCACGCACGGGTGTGTGCACACGCGCACGTGTTCAACAAGTTTGTTGAGTGGGTTGATTGCAGATCAAGCATGGGCATGGGTCACGCAGTCTTTGATGGCAATTGTATTGAGTTGGCTTGGTGTGCTAAACTGGACGAACTGGCCAGGCCTTGGGTGTAGTTCTGGCTATGGCTCGGGGACGCCGCAGTTCAGCGAATCCGCTTGAGCGTGTTTTTTTGTTTACCATCTGGGCCATCACGCGCGTTAGGCCCCCTAGCCTCACCCCTCCACAGCCCCCCCACCACAACGCACCGCTCCCCCCCTCAATGCATCGCCGGCACTGCCGCAGTGCGTCCAGCACCACAGTCTGGGGGGTTGGTCGCTACGTTGTCCCCATCCTGACCCCCTTCCCCTCCTCCCCATCACGCCCGATATGGTCGCGAATAAAACGAGCGCTCCTCCTCCTCCGAGCGCTCCTCCTCCCCCTTCCTTCTCACATGGTCATCGCTCCTCCGCTGTGTGCCAAGAGAGCATCTGTCGATCTCCAGCCGTGGCGACGGCAGCGAAGACCAGGCGAAGGTCGGTTTTGCGCGGGCGAAGCTGGGAGTGGTGCCACAGGTGCCGAGCCTTGCCCAGTGCCGGGGGGAAGAAGAGGCGGGGAGCGGCGGGAGGAAGGGGGGGGGCAGCAGGAGGATCAGGATACAGTTCCTGGGAGGCTGAATTCAGCATCGGCGCCGGTGGATCCGTGGTCGAAGACGGGCGGCAGTCGGCAGGATTCCGCGCAATCTGGTCTTGTACCGCTGAATATGGCTCTAAACCTGGCTTGATATTGGGCTCAATCTGGCCCAGTCCGCTTGATGGCCCCCGAATCGGGCGCAGTGGCCTATCGTCGTTCTTACGAAGGCCTTCCAGGCGCTGCCTCCTCATGTCATCGAGGATAAAACGACCCCTAGCCCTCATAACACGATGAAGACGTAGCCTCACTGAGGTCCCCGTCTTTGCATTAGATCTCATGAATCTGGGCGGCTTGATTCGACACAGCTGCAGAACAGACCGCCTATCCTCAATGTTTTTGGCCCTCCTGACTCAGGCCCCCTCCCGCCCAGTCCGGCTCGATGACCCCCGAATCGGGCGCAATAGTAGGAGGGCGCATGCTAACCTTACCCCACCTCCCCTGGATTTCTAAGTTCACCGAGCGCGTTCCACTACAGTCGGGGCCCTGAAGAAGGAACCCTTTTCGTTGGGGAGGGGCCCCGCGTTCCTTAAGTGTTTCACAGCTTGCCTCAGGCTTTCCTTATGTTTTCGACAGGAAATCGAAGGTTAACTTATGGAAACAAGGGGCCTCGTTCCTTATTTTGGGTTCCTTAGGTCAAACCCCCGACTGTACTCGCAAAGTGCCTACTCGCAAACGCCTGACAAACAAAAACACATGTCTGCTTCGATGCCATGTATCGTAGGTGTCCCGCGGCGGATCGAGGCCATTTGCGAGCAGCTACTCTGCGAGTGGCGGAACGCGCTCGTCTATAAGTGGGGAGCTGAGGTTCACTCCGTTCGGGACCTCCCGAGCGATGTGATCCCCGCCTCCCCCCTTAGGAATCCTGGGGAGGTGGGGTACAGTGGGTGCGCGCATCATGAAGCCATCGACTTTTCGTCAGGGTACCCTGGGTTTCTTCGCTCCGCGCGCTGCGCGGTGACCTCCAGCGGCCGTCAGAGGAGCTGCTGCGTTCAGGGTACCCCGTGTTCTCCCTCAGCTGCACCTCGCGCGCGGGTTTTCAGGGTTGGGTTTTTCTTGCGAGGGTTTCTCGCGACCGCGCCCTTCACTGCAGCGTTCGCACGTGGCCACCCGCATAGCCCTTCGGCGTTCCTGCGAAGGCCTCCCAGGCGCTGCCTCCCCGGGAGGAGCGTGGGTCGGGCGGAGTGGCGTGCGAGCGGGCCCAGGCACTGCGGCCCAGGGGGTCAGGGAGGGGGTGGGCCGTCCTGGCCCGTGGTGGGTTGGCCTCTTCCTTCCGCCCTCTTCCCTCCTCCTCCTCTTCCTTCTCCTCCTCCTCCTCCCTCCTCCTCCTCCTCCCTCCTCTCCTCTTCTCTCCTCTCCTCTTCTCTCATTTCCTCTCCTCTCCTCTGCTTTCCTCTCCTCCGCTTCCTCTTCCTCCAACCTCTCCTTTCCTCTCCTCTCGTCTCCTCTCCTCTCCTCTCCTCTCCTCCTCCCCTCCCTTCCCGCCCTTCTCCAGAGAGGCGATGCTGGGGTCCGGAAAGTTGGAGCGATCCTTGCATGCAACCCCGCCACGGTCGCCCCGCTCAAAAGAAGAGAATTGCGATGTTCGGTTCGTTCGCTTCTCGCCATTGCTTACAACGAGGGATGGGAGGGGGGAGGAGGCTGGAAGGCGGAGGCGGAAGAGGAGGACAGTTTGGAGGAGTTTGGGGAGGAGGGGCAGCAAGAGGGCGGAGGAGGAGTAGGAGCAGCATGAGGGCGGAGAGAGGAGGGAAGAAGAGGCAGGAGGACGGGGAGGATGACGGTTAGGGGTAGGGATGAGGGAAGGGGGATGGAGGGAGGGATGAGGAAAAATGATAAGGAGGGGCAGCTACAGAACCTGGATGTGAAGTTGATGGGGATAGGGAGCATGATGAGGAGAACGAGCTTCAGGATGATGATGATATTGAGGGGGAGGTCTGCTGGTCTACTAACCAACCACTGCTCGTCTATTGCGCGACCACGTATAGTTTTTTATTGTACGTATGGCGCCAGGAGCTGTCCCGACATCCGTGACTGAATGGGCCTGCCAATCAGTTGGTCAATGAAGTTGGCGCTCTTATGAACCGTTAGTGCGCTAAGGCTTGCGAGTTGACCATTGGCGAGGTTTCCTTGACACTTCATGGAACCGGTGCTGTGCAGTAACAGCTGTCTGTATAATTACATAACATGTCCTTGTGTGCGTGTGCCATGGCTTGCGTTCAAAGCAGCATGTCCGAATCCCATTTATTTTCAGAATGTACATGCTAAGCTGTATAGTGTACTCAGCATGACGTGATCCCGGCCGAGGCGGACAGAATCATAACAGCGATACCTTGTATGTCATGTGAAGTACTGCATGTTGGTTGAACTTGGGCAGTGGATCGTCGCCTCGCGGACCCAGAGGAATTATCACTTACGTGCGCTCCAGAGCCCGGAACCTTCGCACTCGCTGGTCATTTCACGAACGAAGGTCCAGACACGACGTTCATGATTATGTGCATGCACACACTTGCTTATATATATATGTATACATATACATACATACATACATACAAACATACATACATGCATACAAACATACATACATACATACATACATACATACAAACAAACATACATACACATAGCTACATCTACATCTACATCTACATCTACATCTACATCTACATCTACATCTACATCTACATACACCTACACCTACACCTACACCTACACCTATACCTATACCTACACCTACACCTACACCTACACCTACACCTACACCTACACCTACACCTACACCTACACCTATACATACATACATACATACATGCATACATACATACATACATACATACATGCATGCATGCATGCATGCATGCATGCATGCATGCATACATACATACATACATACATGCATGCATACATACATACATACACACATACATACATGCATGCATGCATACATACATGCATACGTATGTGTGTGCATATTGATTGCGGGCGGGCGAGAAACTCTGTAAGTTACAAGCAAGTTGCACGCGGCTCCGAACCAATGTTCCGACCAGTACGTGGACCATTGCGGATCCGCGGTGATGAAATGCGGTGCAATGTGGAGGACATGGACGGGGAATTCTGGATGATGGTTTCAGATTGTTGCCCCAGGGGTGTTACGTGAAGCCTGCTCCGTATCGATCATGCTGTGCGGTTTGGGTTTAGTGACCCAGAAAGAGGTCATTCGGGTCTGCAATCTGTTTCATGGTTGAAGCTGTCACGGCGACGTTTCAAATTAAGTCTATCCTGTTGGATTCGATAGATCGTACTTGCCAGCGTGGGTTCCAAACAGTTATGTCTTTCACTGTGGATGCGTAAGCTATGTGATGTAAGACATGTGGTGCTAGCTACGTGGTGCAAGATATCTGATGCAGGCTCAGTGGTGCAAGCCATGCGGTGCAAGCTACGCGCTGCAGGGTGGTGCAAGCTATGTGTTGCACGCTGCGCCGCGCAATCTATACATATATATATATATATTTATGTGTATATATATATATATATATATATATATGCGGTCGGTATGTAGCGGTCTAGTCCTCCGCTGCCTCTTGCCGCTTGTCCTCTCCTCCCCGCCCCCCCCTACCCAGGTGAAGGACAACAAGAAGGCGTCCTTCCTGCAGCAGGCTCGCTTTGCCAGCCTTCCGCGCCGAGGTAGGGAAAAGGGGCGCGGGGGCCGCACCAGTGGCCGCAGGCACGCCCGAGGACGCGCTCGAGCAGCACGTCTTCGGACGCCCGAAATGGGTACGGAAAGAATGGGCACAATGCCCAACAGCAAATGTTGTCCCACACCAACAGCGGCCGCTGTTGGGAGGGCGGCCTCGTGTCTCGAATGGACACAGGCCGCGGCGGCGCGGACAGCGAATCCTGTTCAGAATGAACAGGAACTGCTGTTGGGCATCGTACCCATTCTTTCCGTACCCATGTCGGGCGTCCAAAACGTCGGGCGTCACCCTTGAGAATACATGAGTCGCTCCAGGAAGGGTCTCGCATTCGAGCGATCAGGGGAGAGGGGATCTCTTCCTCGGCAGAAGGCGGCGGAAATGAAATGAGGCCGCGTCCGCCGGCGGACGGAAGCCAGCGGAAGATAGGTATGCACCCCTGAGCGATGGCACCATTTTGGGGTTCAGGGGCCCCGGGTCTTGCCACAAAGCATCGCGCGGTGAAAGGTGGTTTGCCTTTTCTGCAGAATTGGTCGACGTATCCCCTGTCATGTTCACTTTGCCAGGGGGAGGGGGGGTCTCGCGCACTGTGTGGACCTCCTGGGGACTTCTGGAGGGCCTCAGCGGAGGCCCTGAGCAGCATGCGCGGCCACCTGTTGTATCCCTGCTGCCCCCCCCGGTTTGTTCAGCCTTTGAGACTGCCGCTTGTGTCGGTCGCCGTTGCACCACCAACCACAGCATTTTGCTTCTTCCGGTACTTCGCCACCAGGTTCCTGTACAAGGCGTTCCTTTGCAAGCACGTCGTCTTCGGCACCGCCTGATCCCGAGGCTTTGCTTCCTCCTGACTTTGCCGTGAGGCCGCTCTCCTTCCGTCCCCCCCTCTTTGTTAATTCAAGCTTCGCGCGGCCCGCTTAGCTTCGACCGGAAGAGGTGCGCTGTCGACCCGCGGATCAAAACAAAATTGTGTCGGTCCCCGTCCTGGCCGCGATGTTCCCCGTCCGTGTGCGTGCCGACGGCCCCTCTCCGCTCCGCGTGTTCTGGCTCTGCACGGGCGCCTGCTTCTCACAGCGCCTATGTGCGTTGCGATGTCTACGACATGTCCAGCTCTTGTTGTCGCGCTGCCCGCCGCCCCAGAGCTGCGCCGACTGGGAGGCATAGATTCACCAGCCTCCAACCTATCCCTATCCCCAAGATTGACACGCTAAGAGGAGATGACAATCTTAGGGATGCACCCTCAGAAACTGAGGACATCTATAAAATCGCCATCGTGACGAGGCGGTGCCCAACATAGGGCTCGGGATATGTTCCAGGCTGGTAATAAATGGCGTGCCCCCGCGATCCCTCCTCCTCCCCCTCCCCCTGTCCGCGTCGCCTGCCTCCTCCCCGTTCCTGCAGCCTCTCTTGCCCGCGTCTCCTCCCTCCTCCCCCTCCCCCCTGTTTGCGTCGCCTCCTCTCCTCCCTGCTCCTGCAGCCCCTCGCTTGCCCGCGCCCCCATCCCTCCTCCCAGGCCCCCCCCCGGTCCGCGCCTCCGCCCTTCCCCTGCTGCCGCTTCCTGCCTCTCCCCCCCTTCCAGCCCCTGCGCGAGGAAGCCACGGTGTCCGCCGACGGCGAGGTCATCGGCGTCAAGTCCGGGCGCTTCATCAGGAGTCGGCCACGCACAGAGAGGGGGGGGCAGGGGGGAGGGGAGAATGCTTCGTGGAAGGCGCGGGCCTTGCCTATGGATATAAGGCTGGCGCCTTCTACGAAGCAGCCCCCTTCTGAGAAGCCTTCCCCGCTCCCCCGATTCCCTTTTGTGCGCGCCGCCCAAGGAGGGAGCGCCTGTGACGCCCTCGACACCGCGCGCGCGTTTGCGTCGAGCACGCGGCAGCGGCGCGCAAAAGAGCGCCTACTCGCGAGGGGGCGGCATCCTTCTGAGAGGGCAGCCCGTCTCTCGAGATGTCCTCCTGCTTCCTGGGCCGGCCTCATCAAGAGCTATTCGGAGGGTCAGGAGAGGATGAGAGACACAATCAGATTAAAACGCTTGGTTTCGTGGGTATCTGGGGAGATCGGGAAGAGTGAAGTCCAGAAAATGTTTAACAATGCACGGGATCCTGGACTTACAGCCAAGACGTTGAAATAAGGACCGCTTTGGGTTCGGAAGGGGCTCGGGGATTTGGGGGTCGTTTCTTAGTTTTATGTCGCGAGATTTGCTTGTGGCCTAGGCCCACCGTGGCCAGAAAAGACCCTTTGTTCCTTACTTGGCGTTCCTTCTGGTAGTACCTCGACTGTACTGTCGGTTTGTTGGTGTCTCCCCGGGCCCCTCCAGAGAAAAGGAACGGGCTCCTTCTACCACTAAGCCCCCAATGCCTTATTCGCGCGCCACGCTCCCTCGCCCCAGGCCCCTTTGAGCGCGCGCGCTCAAGCTCCAGACCTCCGACGTGGTCGAGGATGACCTCCTGTGGCGAGAGACGAGGACGAGGACGGGGACGTTCTCTCGAGGGAGCAAAGACACCCCGACCTCCATAGTTCGCGCTTGTGCAGCAGCACTGGCCTGGTCGCTCGTCGGGTTGCTTAGCCTGACGGTGGCAGCTTCTGCCCTCTGGCCTCGGCATCTGGCAACCGCGCCCAGCGGCCCCGAGGAGGGGCCCTTCGGCGGCGAAAGCCTTGTCATCTGGACAGGGGGCAGGGGGCAGTAGGAGGAGGAGGAGGAGGAGGAGGAGGAGGAGGAGGAGGAGGAGGAGGGAGGAGGAGGGGGAGGGGAGAGGAGGAGGAGGTGGAGAGCAGGAGGGGAGGAGAGGAGGAGGAGGAGGAGGAGGAGGAGGAGGAGGAGGAGAGGAGTGGGAGGAGGAGGAGGAGGGGAGGAGGAGGAGGAGGGGAGAAGGAGGAGGAGAGGAGTGCGGAGGAGGAGGAGGGCAGGAGGAGGAGCAGGAGGAGGAGGAGGAGGAGGAGGAAGGAGGAAGGGAGCAGGAGGAGGAGGAGGAGGAGGAGGAGGAGGAGGAGGAGGAGGAGGAGGAGGAGGAGGAGGAGGAGGAGGAGGAGGAGGAGGAGGAGGGGAGGAGGAGGAGGAGGAGGAGGAGGAGGAGGAGGAGGAGGGGAGGAGGAGGAGGAGGAGGAGGAGGCATTTTGATTGGAGGACGAGGGAGGGAGGCACTAGGGAGCTGGCCCCAGCTGTTTCTGTTCCCCAGCCGCCCCGCGGGCGCACGCCGTGCCGCCGGCCAGCTGCGGCCCGACCCAGGCCATTTCGCGCGCGGGTCCCTACTCAGACGCTCGCCATCGCTCGGACGTCTATTCCCTGTGCTTTTTTTGGTTTCGTGCGTGGTTTTTTTCGCCAAATTATCCAGGATGCTCCTCGATGGTCCTCGCCGAAGGAAAAATGCACACGTCCAAACGATGCCAAGGACGACTGTTTCCAATGCAGGGCTCGACCGAAACAGAATTCTTCGGGCTCGTCATGCTTTCGCGTTCCCTCGTTCGGTCTTCCTTCCGCCTTCGCTGCCACACGAAGTAAAACACGAAAACGGCCCACGACATCGCAGAACAAACACCGTCTAGGTCGAGCCCTGCTTCCCATGCAGGGTCGGGGCCCGGGGGTCTTTCTAGCGGCCAGGCGACGTCATGGGCTCCAAGCCTCCGACGTCATGCTTTGGTCACGGCTCGGTTGCTCGTCAACACAGGGGGGGAATGGACGGGAGGGGCGGGGACACGCGCCCCGATCGTGCACCGCTTGGGCCCGCAGTGGCAGCGTAGGGGCCGTTCCGGGGCATCGCCCTTCAACCCTCGACCCCCCATTATATTACCCCTCCCGTTGCCCTCCGCCCGACACCCCCCACCCCCCCTCCTCCTCCTCCTCCTCCTCCTCCTCCTCCTCCTCCTCCTCCTCCTCCTCCTCCTCCTCCTCCTCCTCCTCCTACTGCCCCCTGCCCCCTGCCCCCTGTCCAGATGACAAGGCTTTCGCCGCCGAAGGGCCCCTCCTCGGGGCCGCCGGGCGCGGTTGCCAGATGCCGAGGCCAGAGGGCAGAAGCTGCCACCGTCAGGCTAAGCACCCCGACGAGCGACCAGGCCAGTGCTGCTGCACAAGCGCGAACTATGGAGGTCGGGGTGTCTTTGCTCCCTCGA